AACTCAGGACCTTGCACATGCCAGGCAGGTGCTGTGCCGCTGAACTGCATCCCCATCCCATGGTACTGCCACGGGCTTCAGGCAGTGAGTCCTAAGGGACTTACAGTCCGTTTAGGAGTGATCTAGGGAATATACTAGCCATCTAGCAATTCCTGGGGAGATCTCTGACCCTCTGTGCTACCTCCGCCCTCCACACACAAAAGGAGAGCAGAACTTGAGACACTGTTGCCGGTTGTTGCTTGATTGGCCCTGGCAGAGAGGCTGGTGGGGAAGGTAGATGAAAATGGCAAGGCATATCCACCCTGCTTGTTCTAGAATGCTGGGGCACCACCCAAACTAAGGTCAGGAGTGCTCGAGGAAAGGACTAGAGAGGAGTGTTCAGAGGGTGGGGCTGGGCAGAGGACTTGATTTGGTAAGGCCGCTGAGACCAGACCAGCAGGTTCTTGATGTACTTGGAGCCAGCCTGATCTTGGAATCAAGAAGCCTCTGTGCTCGCCTTTCCCTTGAGGCTTAGCTTTAGAGGAAGGGCTTTTCTCCCTTTGGATCTTGGTTTCTCTGTCTTGACAGTGGGAATAGGGTTGATGACTCACTTACGTAGAATTTGGTTTTTCTTTTCTTTCTCCTATGTGTATGTACGCCTTCTTTGTCTCTCTCCCCATCCTAATCTGATCTTGCCCAGGGTGCTGACCCAGACGAGAAGGGCTCAAGAACCCAGAGCTGCAGTGTATAACTCTGCACCCCCAACATCTCCCTACTGCTGGTGTTTCCATCTATTTGAACCTGAGTAGATTCCTACCTCTGCTTCTCTTTCTATATGTTGAAGGGAGCTGGGTTAGGATTGTTGGTGTATACCAGTATAGTTCCTGACCTTAGGTTACTGCTCATTGGAGGAAAAAATTGTTGTCCTCAAGTGCTCTCGCCTAATCTCAAGAGGGGGTGGACAGGCCCCTGGCCATGGGAAGCCTCCAGAAGCTGACCAAGCGGCTCTCTCCTGCAAACAGCAAGCCCAGGCACGTGCCAGGCCTGATTCTGCAAAGCCTTTCACCCTCTGAACACAAAAGGTAGCAGGAGTCAAGGTTCTACCAGCTTCCATGGAGTCCCTGCTGCTGTGGACTCTGGGCCTGTACTCAGAGTCTGGGAAGGGCCTATAGGTGCAGGAGGGGTGAAGCTATGAGAGCTGATGAGAGGTCCTAAGCCTGGGGTGTGAGCCTGAGGTTCAGAAATTTGGGGGAGGTGATGGGTCATCTACTCTCTGGTTGATTGTCTTTTTGTTGTTGTTAATTGTCTTTGGTTTTATTTGTTTGTTTTGTTTTGTCTTTTGAGACAGGGTCTTGCTCTGCAGTTCAGGCTGGCTTTGAAATCACTATGGAGCCCAGGCTGGCCTTGAACTCATGGTGATCCTCCTGTCTTACCCTCCTGAGTGCTGTGTGTATGTTTTTTTTTTAATGCATTTGGTATGGGGTCTCACTATGCAGCTCAGACTCATAGTGATCCTCTGGTTTTCAGCTTCCCCAGTGCTGGGATTACAAGTGTGTGCCACCAGGTCTGGTCTTGGTGGCTGCCAGCACACCACTGGGCATATGGTGCCGGGGATCAAACTCTGGTCCCTGCACTTGCCTAAGCAGGTGCTTAGTCCCCTGAGCTATCTTGCTGGACTTTTGCTTTAGGGTTTTTGTCATTCTTGAAAATAATGAGAGATTAGATAAACTAGTACCTATAGACCTAGGCCTCTCAAGCCAGGCACAAGTCTGAGGAGAAGGTCTCCCAATCTCGATATTCAGGCTTTATCCTAGTACAGATCAGGTTCATTGTCCTGCCTCTGAAATTATAGTTGGGTGTTGTCTTGGGATTCTGAGTCAGTCTTCCTCACGCTGGGCAGGAACTGTCAAAGTGTAGGAGATTTACTTTTTGGATGCTAATGCCATAGCCCAGCTGAGTTTGGGACTGAGCTGACTGCCTCTCATTCCAGCCCTGCTGCCTGGGGCCCTGACAGCATGCCCCTCATTCCCCAGGTCTGACAAGATGTACCAGGTCCCACTGCCGCTGGACCGGGATGGGACCCTGGTCCGGCTCCGCTTCACCCTGGTGGCCCTGGTCACGGTCTGCTGTCCACTTGTCGCCTTCTTCTTCTGTATCCTCTGGTCCCTGCTCTTCCACTTCAAGGAGACAACGGCCACGCACTGTGGGGTAGGGCTTGAGGGACTGATACCACATTTCAGATCCTTTTTGGATCTGTTTCTGGATCCTAATTCCACTTTAACAGAAGCAGCAAGCTCTTCAGTGGGTCTATCAAACACATTGGGCTCTTGGGGTGCTTGAACACTGAAGTCTTAAGGATCAGTCCTTTTCCACCTTCCTTGAAGGTTCTAGGGGCTGGGTAGCTCTCAAGTTCAGAACCCAATCATTATTTCCTAGCAGTTTCAGGAACCCCAGAGTTTTCTGAAAAGTGGAGAAGAGGACTGGACTAGAGGGCATTTTGGGTCTTCTAGTATAGCACTGTGCACTTGTGCCTGTCACTATGGGAGGGAGGGAGGGAGGGAAGGAGGGAGAGAGAGAGAGAGAGAGAGAGAGAGAGAGAGAGAGTTAGAGAGAGGGGAAAAGGGAGATTGATTGTGGGGGCCGTGACTGTTTAAAATGCCTCTGAGTGGGGCATGTGTAAGAGAGAAACTTTGCCTGTTCATTGGGGGCCTAATTATGTACATATGTGTGTGTTCTGGGGTAGGTCATATGCCATCTGAGGTTCAATAGATTGCCATTCACTCTCTGGAGAGGGATATGGGGGAACCTGGGCCATAAAGAAATACAAGAATCTTTTCTCTGTAGGGTACTCTTTAGAATAAATGAGATGAGACCTGTGTTGACTGCTGTTATACTCCAAGTTGATTCACTGACTCTATATTACCTGAGACCCAGAAACTGAGTTTTTTTTTTGTTTTTTTTTTTTTTGCAGAACTGGGGATTGAACTCAGGCTCTTCCGCTTACCAGGAAAGCGCTTATTCTACTGAGCCATCTCCCCAGCCCCTAGAAACTGAGTTTTACTTGCCCATATCATATCTGTAGTGAGGTTGAACTAGGTGTGGTGGTGAATGCCTATAATCCTAGTACCGGGTGATCAAGAAAGAAGGGTTACAAGTTCGAGCCAAGCTTGGGCAACTTTGGGACGTAGTTGGATTCTGTCACAAAGTGAAAAATAGAGGGTTATGGCTAGAGCTCTGTGCATAGGTTCTCGGTTCAATCTTCAGTGCTAACAAAAAGAAAAAGAAAGTAAGTGTGGTGATTCCTGCCCAGTTCCTTGCCAGCACTAACACAGAGCCTCAGGTAGAAAAAGGATGGGAAAATGGATTGGGAAGTGTGAAGAGTGAAGAGCAAGAAAAGGAAGAGAAGAAATGGTCAGGGTGGGGGCTGGGGAGATGGCTTAGTAGAATAAGCACTTCCCTGGCAAGTGCAAGGGTCTGAGTTCAATCCCCGTGTTTCCCCTCCTGATTTGTCCATGGGTAGACATGAGCCTTGGGTTATGGGCACCCATCTGCTGAACCCTGAGATGGAGAGCTGTCAGAAGGAACAGGACTGAAAGAAAAAGGAATGACCAGGTGATCTGGGGAAGGGTCAACTCTTTCCTGATCTAATGCTTATCTCAGATAATGCATCAAACATTCCTGTTTTTCTAGATAATTTCTACCTGTCCTGCAAAGTCTTCTCAAGGTATCTCCTCCCCTGAAAAAGCTTCCCCTTGCCTTCTTCTGGAAAACTGAATCACTTCCTTCTCTGGGTACCTTCAGTTCCTTGTGTTACTTCTCTGTCTCTCTCTACCTTGATCTCTGTCTGTCTTTGTCTGTCTCTCTGTCTCTTCTTTCTTTCTTTAATGGTATTGAGGCCTGAACCCAGGGTCTTCACACTAAGCTATTATTTCCACACCCTTAAAGAAAAAAAATTTTTTGAGACAAACTCACTTACCTATCTCTCATACATTTCTGTCATATCATATTTGTACTTATATCTGTCTTGCCAATCAGACCAGGGTCTCCTTGAGGGCGTAGGCAGTCTAAATCATAATGTACTTGTTGAGTACATGTAAACTTCCCTCCCATCCCCCACCCACCCTTTACTAGGGAAAGTAAAGTATAAGGTAATTGTAGTCCACAAATAAATTACAGTATTCGTACAGAAGTAAGCCTAGCCCTGAGGGCTAATGGGATCAATACACTCAAGCATACCTTGCACCTATTACCTACTCTTGGTATATTAACTAGATAATAAAGGATAACAAGGATGTGGGAGTTGCTGGAGGGGTACTGGGCCTACTGACCTTGGGAGTATTTTGTCCCCACCCCCTGGAGCTCCCCGTTGGATCCACCTGGAGCTTTTCATATATGCTTTTTTAGTGTCACATCTAGAATATCTCAAGAATGGTCAGTCCTAAGAGTGAAGGAAGCAATCTAGTCCAGCACATCAATAATTGACTTTGTGTCTGCCTGCTCATTGTTAGTGATGGGAATTTTCATTCCTCTTTGGGTAACCTATTCTACGGCAGCTTAATAACTAATATTTAGCAAGCTCTTGTGGTGTGCACAAAATTTTTTTTCTGGTGGATGATCTCTGCTCTGTCCCTAGCTCAGCTTTGATAGCCATAGAGGAACTTTCTCCTCAGGGCTTTAGGTGAGCCCTACAAAAACAAGAAGGCAGTAGTGGGGATCCCTCAGTCTGTCTTAGGGAGCATAGCTCTGTTCATTTCAGGCAACCTTCACAGAACATGGCCCCTCCACTCCCTGTATACCCTTGGACTTGATTCATTTGGTGATTATTTTCTCTATGCCAGACCTTGATCTGGGCATAAGACATCAGGTGTGCTGGGCAGGATAGACAAAAGCAGGATTGTTCATTCCTCTTACTAGCAGTTGGACCTCTGTTGATGAACTTGAACTGCCATTAGCTACAGGTAAAGGCTGGACAGTGATATGGAATATTCAGTTCTTTCTAGATCTCTCTTGGGTCCTGATACTGTTATTACAGGATTATCCAGTTCTTCATTGGTTTCATGATACATACGGAGTCCTGCTCTAGTCAGAAAGGGTCCGGTCCCATTCTGCTTTCCTTTTTCCTTCCTAGAAACCTGCCTGTATTCCTGAACACAACCTGCAAAAAGATCCCTACCCCCACCCCTGGCAAAGAAGCCTCAGTGGGCTGACCTCAGCCACTATCTTTTCATACTGTTGCAGAGTGTTCCTGGATTTATGACACGGCTTGTTGATCTTAAGAAGGCTGTGTGCTGGGCAGGCATGGAGAACTGGGCTCTGTGGGTGGGAGGGCAGGACTTGGGGGTGGGACCCTGCAGGCTTGGAGCAAGGGCAGTCTCAGTCTGGCTAGAGCCTTCAACCCAAGCTCGAGATTCTTCAGCAGCTAGTGTGAGTGTTATTTAGTGAGGCCCCATCCCTGACAAGGCGCTGGACCAGTGGACTGGGGTCTTCATAACGGAGGAAAGTGTAAGTCCTAAGGGGAGATGTGGTTCTGGGCCATTTAATACGAAGTCTTAGCTGTCTGTCTCAACTTTTCCCAGCAGGGAGCCCACCTTGATCTGTCATGGTGGTCTGGAGAGTAGGAGTTGTGGGGAGGAAGTTCCTTTGCCCAGAGGGAAGAGAGCGTGATGAAGTGCATGTCCCTGGGTCTGCATCTGACCTGGACAGATACTTTCTGAGTTGGCCCAGCCAGCTGAGTGGAGAAAGTCTATATGGCCTTCGGATCCCCCCAAACCTTACTTTGAGTGACATGGTCTCTTCAGAGAGACAGGAGATGGGAATCTGAGTCTTTGCAGGGTCCTTGATATTTTGGGATCAGGGTCCTTCTGGCTTGAGGCTTAGCTCGTTCAGACCCAGAGGGTGGGTAGCTGGCAGACTGTGGCCCCACTGAAATGGGCTCTAGGGCACTCCCACTGTTCCTAGTTGAACTTGGGTGAGGAAGAGGAATGCAGTAAGTCAGGCTCTAGCCATTTTATTTAGCCAAGGGTTCTTATCCAGGTAACGTGGCTTGATTTAGAGTCTTTTTTAAAATTACATTTTAATTTTTATTGATACATGTTTGTAGAATATAAAGATTACTTTCCTTGTGGGGAGTTGGTTCATGTACATAACATATCTTAATTTTTTTTTAAGAGTCTTAAGCTATTAAGAGGCCAGTATTTGATCCCAACATGGTTGGAGGGCCTCAGTCTCTCTCTATGTGAGATGGGAATAATAAACTTTTCACTTCTGATCCTTCTCCTCAGTGGCTTGTCAGGGTGATAACAGTGAGGTGAGGGGGCTGGGAGATAGCTCAGTAGAATAAGCATTTGTGGGCCTGAGTTCAATCCCTGGTTCCGCAAAAAAAAAACCCACAAAAAACAAAAAAAGTGAGGTGAGCTGTCAGAGCACCTACATCCTCTGAGAGCTTCTACTACCCAGATTCTTCAAGAGGCGGACCTAGAGTGTCAGTGTGCCAGCATGTTCTAAGAGCCATCCCTGCCATTCCAGTTTTGTCTCCCGCTGCTTCACCTCCTCTGCAGTCTTCCCCTCCTTAAGACCTGCCACTTCCATTCTTCCTCATACTCTGAGGAACTAGCTCTGGTAAAGGCTTCCCTTTCCCAGGCTCAGGTATCCCACCAGGCCCCAAGCTGTGTCCCTCGCCCTGCTTGGGGCATCATTCCCTACAGGATGTTCTCTGCGGCCTCCCAGCCCTTGGACCCCGATGGGACTGTGTTCCGGCTCCGATTTACAACCATGGTCTCTTGGGTCATCACTTTCCCCTTGTTCGGCTTCTTCTACTGCATCATCTGGTCCCTGGTGTTCCATTTTGAGTACACGGTGGCCACCGACTGTGGGGTGAGTGCCAGGCTTCCTAGCACGTGGGTTAAGTGTAGGTTAGGACTTAGTGGTAAAGCAGAAATCAGAGAATGGGAGAGACACAGAGGCTTGGAGAGGGAAAAGACAAAAGGATGGAGAATTAGGCTGAGATAGATACAGTAATAGTCCTTTAAGAGTTGGAAGAGGGCTGGGGATATAGCTCAGCTGTGCAGCACTGTCCAGTGCAGCTTCCAGTGATTCTCAGTACCCTTCCTGGAAAGAGAGAGAGAGAGAGAGAGAGAGAGAGAGAGAGAGAGAGAGAGAGAGAGAGAGAAGAGAGAGAAGAGAATTGGAAGAGGATCGGGCATGGTGGCACATGCTTATAATCTCAGCACCCAGGAGGCTGAATGAGGAGGATCACTGTGAGTTCAAGGCCACCCTGAACTATACACCAAAACCTGTCTCAAAAAGAAAGAAAAAAATAAATAGAGAGAGGGACAAACAAAAACAAAAGTTGGAAGAAGATTATAGAAAGTACAGTCCAGAAGACGGACTCTTGCTTCCCAGAGCAGTGCCAGTTATCTCCTGAGGGTCAGGGGCAGAAGTTCTGTGTCAGGAGTAGATGAATGTAGCTGAATTTGGACTTGCCCTTAGATTTCATTCCTGCAAGAAACAGTCCTTAGATACAGTTACAATATAGTAAGTTGGGATTCTTGTGATAAAAGTGAACTCAGGGACTGCGGGGCTCCGGGGAGGCTCTTAACTCAGTGTGGGCACTGAGGAAGAATTCCATCTTAGAGGCTGGGGTGTTGTTACTGTGGGCGGGGGGGGGTGGTGGTAAAGAAGGGTCCTTATGAACATCAGGCTGACAATTTGAATTTTATGGGGGGGGCACTTTGGAAAGGTTTCAAGCAGTAAAAGGTCCTTGATCAGATCAAGCTTTAGAAGACAATTCCAACTCCTGTGTGAAGAACAGATTAAAAGGAAGGGACAAGAGTAGGGAAATGAGGGGGACATTAGAGAATGGGTTATGCTGCTATGAAGATAGAGAGGAGAGGATGGGATTCAGAGAGGAGTAGCAAGAAGAATTTACAGGAACTGGAATTTTTGTCTAATTGGCAAGGGGTTGGGGGGCAACAAGGAAGACAGAAAAGTCATCTGTAATTTGGGGGGACTTTGTCTGAGGCCAAAGAAATTATCTCTAATGGCAGAATTTGATAGAGGAGTTTTTATTTATTTATTTATTTATTTATTTATTTATTTATTTATTTATTTTTTGCGGAACCGGGGATTGAACTCAGACCCTGTGCTTGCCAGGCAAGCACTTATTCTACTGAGCCATCTCCCCGGCCCCGATAGAGGAGTTTTTAGAACTCTCCCTTTATGAGTTTCTCTTCTACAGCCCTGGTAGGAAGGAGTTACCTACCTGGCTCTAGCAGTTTTAGCTCTGTGCTCATGGGGAGGTTTGGGGTGAGGTGGCAGCTCCCCATGTTACTTGTTCCTGGTAGAGTTCATGAATGGGGAACCTACATGTTTGGGATGGAGGTGGTAGGAGACGGTGTAGGGATCTGACTGTGTGTGTGTGTGTGTGTGTGTGTGTGCGCGTGTGTGTGACATTAGAGGCAATCTCTGCTCTTTCCTACCTCTACTCTTAATCTGAGAGAAATTTTTGATGACCAGCAATCACAGGGCCTTAATCACCACACCTCCTACCTCCAGCTCCATATTTTATCTATCCACTCATGAGTCAGGGTTCAGTGATCTTGAGTGCTTCAAGCTATCCAGTTAGGCTTTAGATACTGATCCTGTTGCACTGAAATTAACTTGAAATTAGGGAGGAGTCTTCAGAATGAGGCAATAGAGGCAACACTCTCACTAACCTAACTCGGGAATAGAGAGGCCGACAGATCAGTTAAGGAGAGTAGGAGGTCTTACTGTCTCTCATGTACCACCTCTTGATCCTCAAGAGGCATTCTTCTTCTTTTATCATTTATTTATTTGGTACAGTATCTTGCTATGTAGCTCAGACTTGTAGTGATCCTCCTGTTTTCAGCCTCCCCAGCACTGGGATTACAGTCGTGTGCCACCACCCCTTGTCTCAGTGGCTGGCTCAGAAAACCTGGGGTGGGGAGCAAACCCTGGCCCCTGTGCTTGCCTAAGCAGGCATTTAATCCACTGAACTATCCCTCCAGCCCTAGGTATCTTTTAAAAAATGCAGTCTCAGGTTCTAAACCTGTGTTTTCACACAACTACCCCGTGAGGTTTATGTTACTAAATTTGCAAAGTACTGCCAGGTGTAGTGACACACATCTATAATGCCAGCATTTGGGAGGCTGAGGCAGGAGGATCACTGCTCAAGGCCAGCCTAGGCTACAAAGTGAGCTCAAGGCTAGCTAGTGAAACTGTCTCTAAAAAACAAAACAAAACAAAAAACAGAGAGAGATCCTTTTTCTGTTCTGGGGTTTCCTGTTCCTATCTAACTTATGGCTCAGTCATCACCCATTCTCTTGTCACTCACACCTCTCAACACTATTCCTTGTAGCCATATAAGTACTCCCTCCCCCTTCTTCCTCAACCTGAAGGAGTAAGGTTGCAGTTTCTTTAGGAAAGAGAAGTTTCAGGCACTAAGAAGGAAAGGAGAAATGCATCAGAACAAGGACACTTTTCTCAGACTAGTTTGGAAGCACCCGCTTTCTTAAACACAAACATGGTAGAGACACCTGTCTGGCCTCTAACATCCACCACTGTGGCACCCCTGACCTGAGGAATGATTGGAGCTGAGAGCAGTGTCTGGGTGGCTCAGCTGGGTGTCACTTTTAAAATGGTCAGACTGTCAGTAACTCATCTCTTTAGGACTGATTCTAGATTACTGAGGTTCCCACAGGGTCTTATGTGAGGTGGAGCTCTGGACTACAGGGACAGGGTCCATCCAAACCTATTTGTACAAACTGCCCCAAAGCGAAGGTTCCACTTGGCAGGGAGATGGAGAACGCATGCCCTGACCCTGCACAGATCCCAGGCTAGCTGAGAGATGAAAACTACACACACTGAGCCCAGGACCTGGAAAGGGAGGGCTCCTGCGAGGGATGGGGAGGGGTGCTGGCCCAGGACCTCCTGGAAGGTAGGGGCTGGCCCTGAGGGCCTGGGATTGACTCAGGGAAGTTTTCCTGGTGGGTGGGGCTGGAGGAGGCTGACACCCAGACCCCAGATGCAGCCTGATTCTAGGTACCCAACTATCTGCCTTCGGTGAGCTCGGCCATCGGTGGGGAGGTGCCCCAGCGTTATGTGTGGCGCTTCTGCATTGGCCTGCACTCTGCACCCCGCTTCATGGTGGCCTTCGCCTACTGGAACCACTACCTCAGCTGCGCCTCCCCGTGTTCTGGCTACCGCCTGCTCTGCCGCCTCAACTTCAGCCTCAACGTGATCGAGAACCTCGCACTGCTAGTGCTCACCTATGTCTCCTCCTCTGAGGACTTCAGTGGGTGCCGGGATGAAGGACGGGCGAAGGGCTAGGGATGGGGTCGGACTGCCCTTTTCTGGCTCAGAGCTTCCCGCCTGGGGGTGAGGGCGCTTCAGGCCGTTTGCACACTACCCTCTCTCCCTCCAGCCATCCACGAAAATGCTTTCATTGTTTTCATCGCGGCATCGCTCAGTCACATGCTCCTCACCTGCATTCTCTGGAGGCTGAACAAGAAGCACACAGTAAGTCAGGAGGTACGGTCCAAACCTACTGGGCGCCATGTGCCCCAGAAGAAAATCAAGGACATCCGTCCTCAGGATGTGGGTAGTGAGGGGGTGGGAACCAGAGAGGTTTTTTGTTTGTTTGTTTTAGTTTTGAGAGGACCTTACTCTGAGATTCAGGCTGGCCTTGAACTTACTATGTAGCGCTGGCTGCCTCAGCCTCCTGAGCTCACAGGCATGTGCCATCTGTCCCTGCTGGAACTGGAGTTTTAATAGGAATCCTGGCAGAGGGGTACGGTATTGGTCTTGGGGTTGAGGGTGGTCAGTTTGTCAGCATCAAGCACTGTTCAGGTAACATGGGAGATAAGTTTGGAGATGGAGGTTTCAAATGGGGGTTAATGAGTGGCAGCAGCTGGGCTCCAGTGAGTTAGGGCCACTTTGGCAGAGGACTGGGGCTACTAATTCTGGTGCTCTAGCAGCATCCATGCCTCTCCTAGCGCCACAGTACCTGAGGTATTGAGTTGGTGGGTGACCATGTAACTTTCATATTGTGCCCCTGAAATTAGACAGGCAGGGGCCTTCTCATTGTCAGTTCCCAGAATGCAGTGACGTGGCGTGCTCATCATTCCTGCTGCCCTGTTGGTACCACCTTTGAGGATTACTGTGGAAGCCATGGGAGGGAAAGCTTTGTCCTTAGGAGCTAGGGACAAGTGGGGCAGCTGCCCATACATACTGTACAAGCTCCAGAGTGATGAGATAGCCCGTTCCCTAGGACCGAAAATCCTACAGCTGGAAACAGAGGCTCTTCATCATCAACTTCGTCGCCTTCTTCTCGGCTCTGGCTGTCTACTTTCGCCACAACATGTATTGTGAGGCTGGAGGTAAGACCAGGCTAGGATCTGCAGATGGTTGTGATTACGGGGCAGTTGTAATGGTTTTGGTAGTGGGTGGTGTCTTGGGCAATGTTTCTTCTGATCAGGTAACAATATGGTGATTTAGAAAAGGGGTAACAGGAGGATCATCATGCCCTGTTCCTTGTGTCCCTGTAACAGTTTACACCATCTTTGCCATCCTGGAGTACACCGTTGTTCTAACCAACATGGCGTTCCACATGACAGCCTGGTGGGACTTTGGGAACAAAGAGCTGCTCATATCCTCTCAGCCTGAAGAAAAGCGATTCTAAACCCCTCTGCTGCTGCAGGAGCCCACTGTCCAGAAATAAGAAACAACTCTGGCTTTCCCCATCTTGTTATTTCCTCTCTGGGCTCTTTCGAAGCTGGGGGAGGAAGAAGGGCAGAAGGGCACAGGACAAAGCTGACCCCAGCACTGCTGGCTTCTTTTCCTCAACTCTCTGAGGCACAGGGGCCTTCAAGTAACAGCTCCCCTGAGAGGACCCAAGAAGTCTAGCTGGCAGGAGCACACCACCACTTGGTGCTAAAAGGAAAAAAAAAAAAAAAAAAAAAGGTCCCAAGGTTTATGATCACCATGCAGTTTCTGGCCTTTGTACACCCACATTTCACTGAGGTCAGGGATGGCTGGGCAGTGTCTTACCTGAAAATCACAGCTTGCTCTCCAGGTCACTCTCTTGCCTAACTTGTCTGGCAATCCACTGTGCACCAGGCCTGTGGTCCTAGTCCTCTTGAGATTGCCCACCTGTGCTAGTCCTGACTTCAGTTCTTTGAACTGGTGTGTGCTCTAGGGTGCGTACCCTTCCCTATCTGAACCTCAGTGTATCCAAATACATGACGGGGCAGGTGTGCTGATTTCCAAGGGCTCTGCAGTGTGGCTGTGCTGTATTCTTTATCTGAAGGATGACCGTTACAGGAAAAGTGCCAATCATGGCATGTGTGTTTCCTTTCATTTCTGAAATTACCAGCCTATAGCCCCTGGGGTAAAAGTGTCAGAGACATAGTTCCCTAGCCTAAAATGGGCTCCCTGGTGTCCTTCCATTTTCCCTAGTGCCCTAAACCCTGAGCTCTTTTGGGTGTACATTTTATTTCAAATAAAAATAATTTTTTGATTTTTGCCAATCTGGGTTAGCCTTGCTAGTCTCGGGATTCCTATCCTTGTTTGACAGGAACTTAAGTGAGGGTTCCAGGATGTTCCAGGATGGAGTATATCCAGAGCAGGGTTTTACACACCCGCGCACACACACCCCTTTCAGAGCAGGGTATTACACTCACACACCCACACCTCTTTAGGCTCGGTCTCCTGAAATTGGTCTAAACATCTATATTGGTAAGCAGGAGTGACAGCTATCCCTAAAAGCTCCAGGCCTGCAAGCCAGGAAGCCTGGGAGTCTTCAGTGGAGAAGTCTGGGTTCCAGCTGTAACTTATTTCAGAGAAGCTCTATCCCCATGGAGGTGTAAGGAAAGGGCTCTCAGAAGGATGACAGAGAGCACCTGCCCTCCAGCTGATGGTGCTCAACCACTCCTTTTCTGCCCCTTAGATAGGAAGATTTTCCTCAAGTTTTTCAACCTAGTCCACTATAGCATCTGTGGCTATAGAGCTTTGTTAAGGAAACGGGGGGTCAGCAGGGGGGACACAATAAAGGCTATTGTTTCCTGTCCCCTCTTAAGAGGAAACAAAAGGCTCCCAGTCTCTGGGGAGCCCAAGTCCATGCCCACCCCCTAATGCCCAGCACACAGGGAGGAGCCGGGGCAACTGGAGACAGGAGGTTTTATTGATGCTGATGGGGGGTTGGAAGGCCCCCAGGAGCATGGGGCTGAGTCAGTCAGTGGATGCATAAGGCCTGGGAACATGGGGACAGATTGGGGTGCATTTATCTTCTCAGGATTCTGTGGCCTTCCTTGAGGAAGGGAGACAGCATCTTGGGGGGGCAGTTCCAAGAGCAGCGAGGGAGGAGATTAGAGACAGCTGAGAGCCCTTAACCTGTGAGGAGGCACCACAATAGGCAGCAACTTCTTTGAAAGCTGGATGAATTGGTCAGTAGCAGAAAACAAGGGGGTAGGACATTGAGTTGGCCCCTGGGGGAAAGTCACACTTTGCCTGGTGAGCTCATGAGAATACTCGGTGTTCCCAAGCAGAGTGTGGTGGGACCCAAAGCCCCTCTTCTCTGTGGGTCTCCTTAAAGAAAAAAAGGCATTTGGGGAGCCCCCTGGCAAGGGTTGCCAGAATTAGTCCTGAAGGCACAGCTGGGGGCAAACAAGGCGCTAAGGCACAACTGGTGGGGTGGGGGAGGGACAGCCTCCAAGCTGAGTGCCAGGGTCACAAGAGGACGCAGGACCGCCCACGCTTGACTGGTGTGGGGTTGAGCACTGCCCGGACAGCCTCAGCAAACACTTCCTTCACGCCATCCTGCTGCAGGGCTGAACACTCGAGGTAGCGCACAGCGTGGATCTGCTTGGCCAGTGCCTGGCCCTGCTGTGGTGTGATGGGTGCCTGGCCCTGCTCCTTGAGGCGCCGCAGGGTGTCAGGCTGGGCTCTCAGGTCCTTCTTGGTGCCCACTAGAAGGATGGGCACATCCGGGCAGTGGTGGCACACCTCTGGATGCCACTTGTGCCTCACATTCTCATAGGAGGGTGGACTGGCAATGGAGAAACAGATGACAAAGACGTTGGTCTGAGGGTAGGAGAGTGTGCGGAGGCGGTCATACTCCTCCTGGCCCGCAGTGTCCCACAGGTTCAGGTTCACTGTGCGCCCGTCAACTGCACTCTGGGCGCTGTAATTGTCGAACACCGTGGGGATGTACTCCTTGGGGAAGGCGTTGGTGGTGTAGCAGATGAGCAGACACGTCTTGCCCACAGCCCCATCACCCACCACTACACACTTGATGCTCTGCATTGTGGATGAAGCTGCTGTTGGGGAGGCAGTGCCTCCTCCCTCTTCCGGGCCCTCTGGATACAATGACCTGGGCAGAAAGAAGAGGGACACTCATGGTCTGGGAGGCCTCTACCCTACTAGGAAGAATGGGTAGCAGGAGTATACATGGAGAAACAGGCCTCTGTTCCATGAACTGATATGCCAAATTCCATTACAGCAGACAGAGGCAGACACACATGAAAGGTATCAAGCAACCCGTGATAATGATGAAGTATAGGTGGTCAGGGGGCCAGAAACCCTGATGCCACATTAACTAAAGTCAATTCCTGACTGCTGCTCCCTAGCTATGACCTTGAACAAATCACCTTTCTGTGCTTCAATTTTCTTAACTTTAAAACAGAGACACAGCAATGCTTTATTTGGTTATTATTACACTCACATAAGTCAATACATATAAAACATTTTGTACCCGGTTAATAAATATTAGCTATTTTTATTTTTCCATAGGCAGAGACAGAAGACACAGAGAGAGGGTGCAGGGGCCGGGGAGACAGCTCAGCGGCATAAGCACCTGCGTGGCATGCACAAAGTCATGAGTTCAATCCCTGGTACCTCAAAAAACCAAAACAACAGAAAGAGGGTGTCCAAGTGTAGGGATCTATTATATTCTTTACCCTAGAACTTTTACTATTCTCCCAGCAGCTTGATTTCTCACCATTAGTTCAAAAGCTTCAAAAATCAAAGATGAGTTGTGTGTAGTGCCGCACACCTATAATACTAGCACTTGGGAGACAGAAGCAAGAGGATCACCTTGAGTTGGAGGCCAGCCTGAATTACAAAGTGAGAACCTATTTAAGAAGCAAAACAAATCAAAGACTGTGTTGGGGGATCCCCTGCTGGGAAATGGAAAGGAACTTTGGTGGTGTGGGGACTGCAAAGGACCCAGGGTTTGGTCCCTGCACTCTCCCACAGCTTCCCCTGGGACCAGCTTCCTCTATGTGGTTCTTTCTGGTTTACAGTAATGATATTTTCATCTTATTTGCATGAAGAAGTGTGTATGAACTCAACCTCAGGATATTCAAGATACAGACCTTCAGACAGTGGATCAAGGAAGGAAATAAGGGCTCCTAATGTAGTAGAGAACCTCACAGTGGAAGTTCAGACTTAAGTTCTACCCCCAGCTCTGCTGACTCACAACAAATAGGTGGTACTTACCCTCTCTGGGTCTCAGTTTCCCTTTCCAGGAAATGGAGTTTAAAAATGCCTATTATAAGGCCAACAGGGAAATGAAGTAAGACATAAAGAGCCCTGGGGGCAGGTGCCATTGCTTGTGAGGCTCTGGCGTCTCACAGCACAACATCAGGGCCTGAAAACCAGTTCTACGTAGAAGAGGGAAGCTGGTGTGACAGTATGACTGAGAAGTCTCCCCCCAATCTCAGCAATGGGCTGGCTCAGGCAGGAAGGCACCAGCAGAACTGTGGGCAGCAGTCACAAGGCCCAGGAGACTGAAAACACAACTGGTTCTCTAGGGAGGTGGTTATCAACCAGTAATCTGTAAGTCAACCCTCAAAGGACAGGGGAGGGAAAGGGCAGCTTCCGGGCTGGCAAGGAAATGGTGGCCGACACCAAAAAAAAAAAAAAAAAAAAAAAAAAAAAAAAAAAAAAAAAAATCATGAATGAGGCAGTATCCAGACCAAGGTATGGTACAGGGCCAAGAGTTTGAGATACCTGAATCTGACCTACTGAGCTCACTTGCTGATCTTGACCATTAATACAATGCCCTTGCTGCCAGACATGGTGGTGTACGCCTGTAATCCCAGGACTTGGGAGGCTGAGCCAGAAGGACTGCTGGCAAGTTTGTGGCCACCTGGGCTACATAGTGAGTTCAAGGCCTGCCCAAGTTACATAGTAAGACCTCGTCTCAAAAATCAATCCCTTGTATGCTACAAGCCTTTATAGATTCCCTAGTATATAGTGTCATTTGATTCCTATAAGAATTGGTACTGGTATTATTTCTATTTTACAACTGAGGAAACAAACTCAAGAGTGGCTACAGTGACCCACCATTACCCAGCTAGTTAGTACAGGAGCCAGGACATAAACCCAGTTCTGTCATCCAAAGTCCCAGGTTTTCCTCAGTACATCACACATCCTGGATGCTACACTTTCCCAAATACACGACCTTTAGGAATAAGTTACTTCCCTTCCGAAAGCCTCAATTTCCCCATCTATACAAGAGTGACACTGTAATACTTGTCCTCGCAACCTCACAGGGCTGCATCTGGGACCACATGCATGAGAATGAATAGGATTTGTATGCTGTGACGTACTGTGCATATAAGGAAGTTACAGGAGCAAGGCTATTTGTCCTGAGAGGCAGGAAGAAGCGCTGGATATGCCTGAGTGGTGGCACCCATCCAGTTTTCTTTATTCAGATCTGATCCAGACCCCCAGCCTTTCTCCCAAGACAACTCTTTTCTTCTCTGAAATCCTTTTGGCCAGAACTGAATCAAATAGGTTCCCTTTGCCCATTAAAGGAGTACATGGGCCAAAATGTAGGGTCTAATGCATGCTGAATAGGAAGAAGGGATGTTGATGCAACAGAATGCTAAATTAGGAGCAGCCTGCCATAGTTTGGATTTGACTAAAGACTATTTACTAAGTGACTTTTAAAAAAAGAAAAGATGATTTGATTTGAAACTGTCTCATTGCTGTTTATCAATAAAATTTTGGGAAAAAAATAAAAAATAAAAAATAAAAAAAGAAAAAAAGAATCTGGCTAGCAAATAAACTGATGTTTGCAGATCCATATTTATTTATTTGTTTTTGCAGATCTGTATTGTATCAACCTAACTACAATAATTCTGGCTTTTTAAAGTTCTTCATCATCAGAGTTTTGCCTTCACAAAGATCTGGATTTAAATCCTAAGTCTACCACTTATTCACTGAGTGACCCTGGATTTACAACTATTTGCCTTTCTAAGCTTCAA